TAAAATTGCTTACATAGTTTTTGCCTGTTGCCAAGAATTGCCCCACACATAAATCCCATGTCTGCGTACCAATACAGCGCAAGTCTCAGGGTAATCAACGATAGTTTGATCTAAATCGTCCCTTAAATCCTTCTCAAAAGGAGTGTTTTCTATGATCGGTATTACCAGCTCCTCGTCGTAACGATACGCTCTACCTTCTTTCTGATTCCATATGCCTGCGTAAGTCGAACAGTTTTATGTCGTTATCAATTTAAAATCATCTGTAAATGGACTTGAAGAGATGATTTAAATGTATATGCGTACCTTTTATCATCTCGAGATGAGTGAGCTTGACTTCTTTCCCAGGCCATAGCAGTGTTGCCATCACAGCGAACTTCGAATGGGTGTGAATCACAGCATCTGCGTGCCTTCTTAAATAGGCACACATAAATAGCGGAGTGCATTGCGACTTCTTCAGTTTCTTTTCTGGCGAAGGCAATTCCAAGTCTGTTCCATTGATATCTTGCACGAACATGTCGTTGGGCATCATACGCTCCTTTTGTACACCAGAAGGAGCTATGTAGATTTTATCTCTGTAGGACAGAAATTTTTGTGAATATCTATACTTTAATAACAGTTTTGCACATATGACAATCAAGCTTTCAAAACAAGTATTAGGGCCGTGACACATAGAAAAACCTAAGCAGTAAGGAAATCAACGGTATGGATTCGCTACTGTTTATATCCGTGCCTTAAGTTCTTGACTGTGATTAGCTGATTAATTTGCTTACTGCTCAAGTTTTCCTATGTGCCACCCTTACTGTAGATATTAACTCATGTTTTATGGAGATACCGCCACCAGTACCAGTCACCCATCCGAGATGATAAAACTGCCGACACAGTTCTGGAATAAGATTTCTTGGGTGTTCCTGTATAAAAATGATAGATATATTATGAAACCAAATCTATACACGCATAAAATTTAGAATTGAAATTTTGTAAGACTTGATTACACAACGTCCATTAATTACACGCATATGTAAACAGTGTGAAAATTTTAGAACAGGCTGCTATAAGAGAATCGCAATTAAACATATTCGTTGATTAAGCAAAGAAATTCCTTGAGTGTAAATCCCGACTCCAATATTTACAAATACTACTTATGCATAATACCTTGTCGTAGTCGGCATCGTAAGCTTCTGACATCTTGACTCCCGAAATGACCAGAGGAGAAGAGACCGGAGCAACGTATTATCTATCAAAATAAGGTCATTATCAGACGTGTCACGCGCAAGATAACAGGATGTGTTGATAACAGAAAATGTGCATATACTTACAATCACAATACTTTCAAATATCAATCCGTACTATATATAATGTTCATCACATACGATTTGCAAGTTGAATTACAAGTAAACTTCTGTGTCAGCGTATAAAAATTGTTATTGTTACTGCGTTTGTCGTTGTATCAAGAGCAATCAAGAGCTACTTTTATTAGTGGTAATTTGGACAGACGCACGTGTAAATTGACGATGGCAAGAGCCATCTACCGTGCAACCGTGCAAGTGCTATAGAACTGTCGCTGTTGTTTGTATACATAAAGCTTCTGTCCTGCTGATATGCAATTGCATTTATTTGCAATTGCATTTTTTCCATTTTATTCACACAATTTATATTTTTCCATTTAAGTAATACGTGTAAATATAACTTTTTCTGGTAAATCTGAAGGAGAGCTCCCTCCTCACCGATTTCGCTGAATTTAGGCTTAATCAACGCGTTTTTGCACAAAACGAACGAATCTGGCAGAAAAAAGCCCCGCTCTGCCCCGCGAAGCGAGATATTAACTGTTAAAGTTGACGACTATGAGACCTGTCATACCGACGCGATGTAGCGACTGGTAGCGATAAAATCAATTTAGATAATGACGCATGAAAGAGTGAATGATGTTCTAAAGACAATTTTTAAAATGCGTCTAAAAAATTATAAGATCTTTTATCAATATTTCTCACAATTTGAATTTTTGCGTCGCTGGGTTGAATGAAAAGAAACTATGGAGTGTAGAAATTTAGATAGTAGTTTATCACGAACCTAGTATTAGGATCTTTCTTCCATATTGGAACAAATACTAATATTTCAGTTTGAGTATTATTGTTTAATCCATTTAACGTGAAACAACTTGCTATTATATTTGTAATGTTCGTGCACGAGTGAAATGACGCTATATCTAAATTTCGTTATGACACTCGCAATAACTTCTAGCGTGAGAGGATCAACGAATATGAGAGACAGAGATTCAGGATTCGCTGGGTAGCAGAGTGATTCTTGCAGAAATGATTAAAAGCAGTAGAGACGTAGATAGGATGCACGTGCTACGACAAAAAGGAGAGGGCCCGCCGCTTTTATTTCGTCATTTTGCAGCGGCAATCGGCGGGCCCGTCCTGATCCGTCACTCACAATAATGATACGGTGTGTCGTGTGTCAGCAGGATTAGTGGGAACGTGTTTAGAGGGGACACTACACGGATATAAAGTACGTACTGGAATGAATATTAATGGCGCATACCTGTGAGCTCCTCCACGACAACTAGCAAAAGGACGAAATAAAAGGTCGATTAAGAATCCACCACGCTGAATTTTCACATTGATATCGTCAGTTTATATTTACACAATTCGATTATGACGGGGCAACCGCGGTGCCCCCTTTGCAGTCATAAATAACGGCCCGCTATAAATACGTTACGTCTGTTACGTAATTCGAGTTGCATAATGCATAATTTTAATCGCTAGTCGCTATAAAGGTGTACCTGAAGACACGGGACACTCTGCTTACATACATGAGGGAGGACACGTGTTTGGCTAACGTATGTATATATATATATATATATATATATATATATATGCTCGTTATATACAGTGTTTACAGTGTGGCATAACGCGTACGTCGGTGTACCTTTGGCGCTGAGAATAGGGTATAATCGCGGGATTAAGGGATGCGCAATTTCGCGGCAGCTGCATTGAGTCGCATACTCGATAGATTCTTGAATATTTTGTTAGTTAATTGCTTCCCTCTCCGATATCCTCGATTTATTTATTGCGTTGCGGAATATAGAAGTCGTGACCTAATTTCTATGGCAGCGATAGATTAAATTGCGATTTAATTATTGAATCAATTATTAATCTGATAAATCTTCCATTAAGGATTTTGTAAAAAGTATAAAATGTTTCCGAAAAGAAATAAAATATACAAACGTTTCCGTAACATCTTTCTTCGCTTTTCAATGTATGAATAACAAGCTTAAATTTTAAATACTCATTTTTATGACGAAGTATGGACAAACTTGTTCTCTTTTACGTATATATCCTTTTCTCAGCGCGGCAGATTGTCTGGCAATCTGATTGGACTATATAAAGACGAAAACAAGGTGTACAAGTAGATGATTAAATACAAGGAGGAAATGTTTCCGCGATCTGTACCATTTTTCTATAATTATGGATAATACGGCTGCAAGGCTTAGGCTCGTACTCCATCAGTCTTTTTCTCTTTTACCTTGCGAACGGTTTTCTGACACTGATTCAATTTGTTCGGTTATTCGCACGTTCAAGTGTCTCGCGCTCGACAGACCGGGCACAACGATAATTACTCGATTATTCCAGAGTCTATTGTACAATCAGATCTTTTTGTTCGATTACTCCTTTGCTCGCATTTCAGGGTCTGTGCGATCGAAATCGAGATCCATTAGGAATCATCTGAATCTCAGCGAAGCCTTGCCTCGGGAACAGAGTTGATCAATTAACCGCGTTAATCGGAAATTAAAGTCAGCCTTGCTCACGAGCAACGAAAGAGACGCAGGACACGCAGGACGCTTGATTTCGATGAAAATCGAAAGGAGAGCTCGCCTTGCTCCACGGTCTCGCAGAACGGTGAGTCATCGTGATAACGCAATCGTTATGTCTGTCCGCGCGACACGTGTATCTCGAAAATTTATAAATTTTCCCATAACGCGTGTCTCACGTACTTGTTCGACATTTTATTTATTTTCTGTATAGGCAGAGCGAGTCTAATAATGGTTGTTTTTTTTTTTTAGATTATACTTCTCGCATGGGTCATCTTTTCTCTTTTTCTTTCCAACGTGAAAGGAAAAAGAAGAAAGATGAACCGTGCAAGAAGTTAAGCTAAAAAAACAGGCCTAAAGAGCTTTTTCTGTTGTTTACATACGTTTGGAATTTTACTTCAGCTGCAATACAGAATGCGTGTGAAATCGTGGTACAAGCGATTAACGAGAATAAAGATTGTATTAAGATAGGTCGAAATTATAGAAAAATACTTTTTTTCGTACGAAATAATTTGTTTTTAAAATAAACGATTTTAAAAATTTATCGAGTACACACACATTTGTGTATGTCTCGATAACGGATCTTGTTGTAGACTACTATTTCTGTTCGTGTTTATTTTTGTGGACATCGGCAATGTCATGATTTATTTCCTGTCAGTTCTATTATCTCGAACACATGCATGTATCGATAAAATATTTATAAAAATTACTCCATTGAATAAACAGTTTTTTTTTCATTCCGCTCGATGTTACAGATGACCCTAAAACAAAATTATTACAGTGGAGAGCCGAGCGGAAAAAAAAGGAGACCCAGGTATCACAAAAGAAGCCTCCGTTCATAGTTGGGATTGTTCGGCATCATATAGGCGCCTCAGTCGCGCTGAAACAGTTGCTCAAGTGCACACCAATTACGTTATTAAAATAAAGGGAATTACGAAAGCCACCGAAAAGCGACTGCTAGCCAAAGCAGCAAAAGATGAATTGAAAAAAAAATCGCTTGCAATTTCGGTCTTCACAAAAAAATCTTCTGCAGTAAAAACTTCTTCAAACGATAAAGTCGAATCTGATCACAATAGACGGGACTCATTTGCTCCATCTAATCATAAATTTAATCCGCCTGCCGGATTGCCTAAGATATTACTTGGAGAAGAAAAAATAGTAGACGGCCCCTCAAATGAAAATAATATTTTCATACACGATAAATTAACGGAGACCACTGACCAAGAACCGTTTCGTTGTAATTCTAATTCTATAGAAGCGATTACGTTAAAAATGTCGTCAGATGAGCAGGAAACTTCAGAGTCCTCGCGAGAAAAGCAAGCAAATTTGATGGTAGAGACAATATCAAATGACAACAATGTTCATGAGACATTATTAACCGCAGTAGAAAAAGAAAATTGTTCAAAAGGTCTAACATCTTTTCCGAAATGTCCAAAAAATACTGAAGATAATATCAAGACAAATGAACAGGACAATTCTGATCTTTGCCAGGTTTCAGATCTGACTGATAAGCTTGCAATAAAAGGCGCTATAATGAAGAATCCCGATGTGCCAATGGAAAAGAAATATTATACTGTCGAATACTTTGAACGCGTGTGGAAGGAACAAAAACATAAGCTTCGGAAACTTTGCGAGGAATGGACGAAAATTCAATCGCAGGACGGCACAAAGGAAGATAGTCGATGTCAAATTAATCAAGCAGTAGGACAAACGACTATGTTATATATGTATATGTTGTGCCCATCCTCAGTCCTATTACTCGTGTCCGAGCGTGGTGACTTCTCTTCATATACATGTGTTGCGCACGTAGATTATACACATTGTACATGGAACCTACAGTTTAACGCCGATTTCGAACGGCAATTTTTTAGAGAAGTTTTCATGGCAAGACATACTCTCGGTGGTTTGCCATTGCCTGCCGAGAGGAGAACGAGCGAATAAAATTTTCTAGCTCTACCGGGAATCGAACCCGGGACCTTTGGGTCAGTAGACCAGTGCGCTGTCTACTAGGCCACGCTCGTCTCGATATGTCATATATAATATGTCATTGAGGTTGAGCGCTCAAGTACATCACGTGACCACGGGACATGCGCGCATGTGGTCGCGGAGCATGTCCGTAGTCGCTACATCGCGTCGGTATGACAGGTCTCATAACCTGATAGTCGTCAACTTTAACAGTTAATATCTCGTTTCGCGGGGCAGAGCGGGGCTTTTTTCTGCCAGATTCGTTCGTTTTGTGCAAAAACGCGTCGATTAAGCCTAAATTCAGCGAAATCGGTGAGGAGGGAGCTCTCCTTCAGATTTACCCTTTTTCTTGTGTCAAAGCTGTTGTTTTAAACTCTTCCAAAGATGTTTCGGCCGCTTTTCTCCAAGCCGGGTAAGGTTATGTTTTTCAATCTTATATTTATTCCGATTTTTTAAATCAAGCTGCTTCAACTTTTATACTGTGAATTATTGGGATACGTTAATGAATAACAATTATCTAATTGCCATTTCGGACGACAGGCAGTTTGCAATTCGAACTCAGTCTAACCTGTACGGTTTAATTTTTAAAAGATGCATGAAAGTCCCATTTGATTCGCAATTCAAAAGCTGTGAGATGTCAGTCACTAATCGAGTAACTTTATTAATTAGGAGATAGCATGTGGCAGGAGGATAAGCCGGATATTGATGCCCACTCGTCTACACAATTTGTTTACAATGCGCATCATTCACTCGCGCTCGACATGCAACGTCAACGACTGCCTATATTCAAAAACAAGGATCATATTATTTATTTGTTGGAGAAGTACCAGACTTTGGTTTTGGTTGGTGAAACAGGTTGTGGCAAAAGTACACAAGTTCCTCAGGTAAGATTTGAATGCATAGCACATTGGTCAAAGATAATGAGGAGCCTATAGAGCACTGGTATTACATTTTCATTACATCCACATAAATGTCTTAATTTCTATGACTATGGATATCAGTGACTACGCTTACACAGCGGCTTATAATCCGGTTTAATAATTACTGTATGCTATCCAATCCAAAATTTTTCTAGTTTTAATCATAATGATTATTTAAATAGGAGCTTCTTTTGATACTTTTGATACTAAACTACAACTTCTAGTATATTACATATATATATATATATATATATATATATGTATCAAAAGAAATTGATTTATCTCGTGATTTATATGCTTGGAGTATGAAATAGGCTTTTATTTAAAAATCATTATGATAAGAAAAAGAAAGGTTTTGGATTAGATAGTATACGGTAGTTATAAAACAAGATTATAATCCACTGTGTAACGTAGTCAATAATCGCCCGTGTCAATGTTTGATCACAACATGAGTTAATGTAAGTTAGAAGGCTTAATATCTTGTTACAAGAGATAGTGGCAAGAGATAATAATAATTTCTTTATTTATATTATAAAATTATTTTTCAGTTATCTGTATTTTCAAAAAATGTACAAAAAGATACTGAGAAACTCCAGTTGCTCAATAGCATGTCTCAAATACTGACACATCCTAGATACTCGACATTATAGTTATGTTCTGTATGCGTGCTAATTGCAATTAAATATAATGAGTATGCTAAAAATACTTAAGTCTAGACAGCACGTACTGTTGGAAATTATTTAACGACAGGACGATTTGCATCGAATACGTAATATGCAAGAATACGTAATATATTGAAGAGCGTACAACATCTATTGCATTGACTTTGAGCGCGGAAAAACCAGTTTTTATTCTCATGAATTATTCACGCGTCGTCAAATTAAAAATTCTTATTTTCTTCTCGGGGCTTGCATTCAGTTTCTTAATACGGCAAACATTGATACTAGCATTTTCCATTACATATTCGACCTTCACATCTGCTGACTAACGAAATTTAACACCGCGCAGGCAGATATAAATAGAATTCTGCGCAGGAGAGTACGGTCTGCTAGAATTTGACTATAAACGTGAGAAAGAGTTTCAACATTTAGCCGTAGGAAAATGCTCTTCAGGGAGTCGTAAGGAAGTAAGAAAGCGCGAGAGAAAAGACGCTTCTTCTCTCTCATTATTATCGTGTTTGTTTTATCGCCGGGCAATATATATGCCCGGCTTCCCTATGAGCATTACAGTCTAACGCGATCCGTGTCAACGTCCGGAAGGCGCGCGAGCTCCATCGGACTGGAGATAATCGCGGATCAAGCTCCGATATTGACCTATATTATTCAACGGAGTGAAATCTGTGATCGGTGAAGGTAAAACGCGACGGGCCACCTGTCTCCGCCGTTAGTGTGACCCGCGACTTCGTCGATCGGCGTTCGCGCGGGGAAAGAAAGACCGTCGGAAGCGGCGGGACACGTGTGCGTGTCCGGTCGTCTCGCTCCTATCGGAAATAGACCGAAAATAACATGGGGTCTTAATCTGATACAAGGAAGATAGGCGACGAGCCGATAATAGCCCAGTTTTGGCTTGAGATGCAACGTATTACAAAATATTTCAGAATACGCGCGTCAACGACACGGTAGAGCGGAGTGGGATTTGTCTCTGTATCCCCCGCGGCAGAAGTGTGTGTATCCAGTTTTGACGACAAATCAACGACGTAATTTGTGTTACAAGGCGTTACCAGTTATTACAAAAGTGCGCGGTCAGTACGATGAAAAAGGCAGTTTTCCTGAAGCTACTCTAACGTTTTGTCGCGTGGAAAGTTAGTAGCGGTTGAAGAAAATCGAATCGCATACTTTGGAGAAGAGAAAGGATGAAAAGGACCACTGAAAAGAATGTCATCTTAGTCATCATTGAGGTCGATCAACGAGGTTGATCAACGAGGCGACGCGACATAAAAACATATGCCTTGACAAAGTTTTTGTGACACGTAAACATGTGACGTACATTGAATTTGTAGCACACCGGTAACGCTTGACTAATACAAATAATAATAATCGACTCTCGCGACGGAGTGTGTAAGCTTTTTTTAATTAGATGAGAGATATTAGAAAATAATAAGACATTGGTTAAACAAATTATTATAACAACTGACTTAGACAAATAAACAAAAGTATTACAAAGGGAAAAACTAAACGATACGACGGACGTAGAGTGAAACGATTAGACTTTGGATCTTGGAAGATGTGCTCGTCGACGTTCATCAGTAAGACATGTCTGGCATTTTCATTCCTGCTGTACTTCGTCGGAATGGATTTGCTACTCTATTTCCGAGTGCAGGACTACGATGTGCGTCCGTCTACGAACGACTCGCAAGCTTCGCCGTATCATTCGCCAATTTTGTGCGACCTGAATCCGATTTGCACGGTGACGGTGAAGGCCATGACGTTGGACCACCCTAATCACTACATTCTGAGTCCCCTGGCGTCCCTGACGGATTATTTGCTGGGCATCAGTCGTTCCTGGACGTGGCTGACGCCGAATGCCATCAGTTTTTCTCACGTAGTTGTGGCTGTGATCGGCGCCCGGTACGTCACACGGAGTTCCCTGTTTCACAGACGAGTGGGCGTCGTCCTGTTCCAAGTCAGAGCCTGGCTGGACAATCTGGACGGCCACGTGGCCAGGACGAGGCTCAACGTCAAGGGCGAGAGATCGGACGTTGGCTCTATCGGTTACCTCGTGGATGGCGTCTGCGACGGTCTCGGCTGCATCGCTCTCACGGTCGCGGTATTCATTTTCCTGAAGCGCAACACTAATCACCGCGGTGGTTACGAGCGACTGCCCATTCGGACAATATCGTCGTCGTCACTGTCACCCCACAGTACCGTTTCTTCTACCTCGTTCTGGAGATCGCCCCTGTACAACATTCTAATGATGGGCCTCCACTTTTGCCTGACGAGCATCGCTTGGAACCGGTACATATCCGTGTACCAGGACCTCCTGGAGTCCGACGTCCCTTCGATGATCAGCCGAAAGGATCTCTACGATAGGCAGACCATCGTTTTCCGAAGTTCCTCTTTCTGGACTATCGCTCTCGCGTGGAAGATCTTCAACTTTCACGCGATGATGGACTATATGCTTCTGGCAATATTTTTGGATCGCATTTGGGAATACGTCAGATTCGCATGGTTGCAGCTACCTACAGTTTTGTTTCTGCTTATTCTTATCAGCGAGTTTCACTACACGTACACTTACGAGAAAATATTATCGGTGAACGATAGCCTGCGGTACTCCTCGTACACGCTTACTTATCCATAACAGTCGGTTTCTTCTTAACGTTATTCGTTTCCCATTAGCACATATTTTTGCATATATTATTGTGTAATAATGTATGGTCGGTAGAAGAACTTATTTTTTTTGGACGATTTTAAATATATATTTTTTTTAGATTTTTAGAAGATGATTATTATATTAATGATCATATATTATTACATGAATTTTAATTGAAAATAAAAATTAAAATGTAATACAGTAAATTAGAAACTATTTTAAAATGGCATATCGCAAATTATCATTTTTTATTTGAATTGTTCGATATGTAATAATGGACTTAAAAAGAGCAACACGTATATGTTATAAAAATATATTTTATATATATGTATATATAAATATATATTTTATATTTATAATTAAGATAAATTTTTTTTATGTATATTTGAACTTAAACTTTTTTATGTAAGTATATGTAATATATAGAAAATATTATATTATTACAAGTTGCTTGTATTCTTAAATCTTAAATAATAAAACTTTTAGATATATAATTTTGTCTTGACAAAATAGTACGAAAAATATTTTAAAGTCAAAATCCGTAAAATAGTTATACGCGACGCGTTTCAAATTTTTTTTTCCTTATCGCTGCGACACAAGACAACTTACGTTATATCTACGCGTCGAAGTGGGTCAGTTATTGACTGCAGTTAGACATTTTTATCTAATCCAGTCCCAAGAATGTTACTTAACTGCAACACGAACATAACGAACATATTACAAAAACCTATTATGTGCACGTAAGATGAAAAACCGTAAGCCTCCTAATCCTTTAGATAACATGCGATCAATGCCAATAGTTGCGTTCATCAAATTTTATATCGCCGTAGCCTTGTATTATTTTTATAACGAAAATGTGTAATAAAATATTTTTACGAAAATGATTTATTTCTGAGATACTTATTCACCTGTATCGCTTCACTCAAAAAAAAATAAATCCTACAGTGTAACAATATTTTTCAGAATTATACAAATGAATTTTTCCCGTACACGTTATCTAATAATAATAAATATTAATTTATTCACACACATGTTAATAGATAATATTAATTTATTAACAAATAAATATTCTTTTTTGCGCATGATGACTTGTCACTGAACTGAATTTTTTATATTGTAACAGGGAGTTCAGAATAAAATCTAATATGTCTTGAAGCGAATTAATATCGTATTATAAATCATATCTTTCATTTTTCAGTATCTTCTCGAAGCAGGATGGTGTGCGGATGGAAAAAAGATCGGTATAACGGAGCCTAGGAGAGTCGCCGCCACCTCGCTGGCGAATCGCGTGGCCGACGAACGCAATTGCATTCTAGGAACTACCGTGGGTTATTGTATACGCTTCGATGATTACACCGATGAAACGACTAAGATTAAGGTACGACACGACGTGAGCGCAAGACAAATGTAATAACAAACGCATTTTACGAAATAATTCCAATTTAACGGCATCATTATATATATATATATTGCACTTTTTTGTTATATCATGATAAATATTAGAAATATCAGCGTTTTTCTAATGCATTTTTTATAATAAAATATACTTATCTATATGTGCGTATTACTTCGTTACGAAGCTAATGTAAATTGCTTTTGCAGTATATGACAGAGGGTATTCTTCTACGGGAATTAATGAGCGATCCCTTATTAACAAGCTACTCGGTCATTATCCTGGACGAAGTGCACGAGAGAACGCTCTTGACTGATATCATAATGGGACTGCTAAAAAAAATAATCAGGGTAAATTCATTGATGTGTTTATCGGCAAACGTAGCTTTCCTCGCGCGGCACACGATAAATTGACATTATCTGACGAATGTTGCAGAAACGGAAGAGTCTGAGAATTATCGTATCGTCGGCGACGGTTGACGCAGAGGAGCTGCGAGATTTCTTTAACGTAAATACGACGAAGGACTCGAGTAAAGATAGCGCCGTTATCATGAGCGTCGAGGGGCGGTTGTATCCGGTGGATGTATTCTTTCTAAAAGGTATACACGCCACATCCGTGCACAGAGCCACATCCGTGACTGAAGTTATAATTTTTGATCGTTTAATTAAGGTTGTAACGCGTTGCAGAGCCGGTGGCGAATTATGTCAATGGCGTAGTAGACACCGTTCTAAAAATACATGAGACGGAAGAATCGGGTGATATCCTGGCGTTTCTCACAGGACTCGACGAAGTCGATCAAGCAGTCTCTCTCTTATCGGAACACGCGAAGCTTATAAAAGACGACAAACGTGAGTAAGACTTATTTTTTTCAATAATATGCATTTTAAATTAATTCTCTGTTGTTTCAATCGTTCCCATTGTTCATTATAAAGGCGATAAGGAATTTGAAAACTTAAAATTGATCCACATGATAATTGAGGAAGAAAACTTTAATACATTTAATATTTGGTAAAAAATTTAACACTTTATGAATATTTTATTTCTAGAGAAGCTGCTTCCATTGCCGATGTACGGGTCGCTTCCGAACACGGAGCAGCTTAAGGTGTTCTGGAGGGCTGCTAAAGACACTCGCAAAGTTATCGTAGCGACCAACATCGCGGAAACGTCTATTACTATTCCAAATATCGTTTACGGTACATTAGTCACGGTATATTAGTGCGCTTTTTATTCTTCTCACTTAACTCAACAACATTATATAACCGGTACCTTCTAATGTGCAGTAATCGATTGCGGTTTCGTCAAGATACCTTGGTTCGAAGCGGAAACGCAGACGAACAGCCTCGTTATCGTCCCCGTATCAAAAGCTTCCGCCAACCAACGAGCCGGCCGCGCAGGTCGCGTGCGTACCGGAAAAGCATTTAGGTAAACGAAGCAAGAAATTAATTATATGTTTCAATAATTTTAGAGATATAGGTAGCGATGTATTGTTTTCTATATTAATTCTGAATATAGAAATTATCGCGCGGACTGATAAAATATTTTGTAATCTTATAATAGACTGTACACAGAAGAGGCTTACGCTGAATTGTTCGAGGCTACCCCACCGGAAATGCAACGGTCAGATTTGGCGCCGGCGATACTGCAACTCAAGGCCCTTGGTATCGATAATGTGTTGCGATTCAATTTTCCATCCGCGCCGCCTAGCAAGAATCTAGTCACGGGATTGGAATTACTTTATGCGTTAGGTGCGATCGACAGTAATGGAGATTTAACGACACCGTTAGGTTTAACGATGGCGGAGATGCCTTTGGAGCCGGTGCTAGCGAAATCCTTAATCGCATCTGGTAATGAGGGCAGATAACGTTAATGATGCAAAATCATACACAGTTGTGGCAAAAAATTCATAAGTTTTTTTTATCGATAGGTGAGATGGGATGTTCCGAGGAAATCACCACAATACTCGCCATGCTACAAGTTCAGAACATTTTTGTGCAACCCGGTGGAGGGCAAGCGGCTTTAAAAGCGAGAATAGCACGTCGCAAATTCGAAGTGGAAGAGGGAGATCTTCTCACCTTGCTGAACGTCTACACAGCTTATGAACAGAATAAAGCGCCCGCCTGGTGCCAGAAGCATTTCCTTAATCAGAAAGCTTTGCGGAGAGCTACGGAAATTCGCGTGCAAATGCATAAAATGCTGAAGCGCTTAGACATTCCATTAGTATCCTGCAATGGTAAAAATCTTATCTAAAAATTGAATTAAAAATGTAATTATATTTTTTCTTAAATTCTAGTTTTAAAAAATGGATTTTTTTTATCTTTCAGGGAGTGTTCAACAAATTCTCAAGTGTTTGGCCGCTGGTCTCTTTCCTAAAGCGGCATATCTGCATTACACAGGCATGTATAGAACGGTTCGAGGCAACAAGGATTTGTACATTCATCCAAATAGTTGTTTATATACTCTACAGCAGCCGCAATGGTATGGCAGAAATTCTATTAAATTATTCTACTAAATATTTAGAAGTTTTATTTATTTCATATTGATTTCATATTTTTATATTACTTTATTTCAGGTTACTATTTTGCGAAATTTTGCAAACGAATAAAACTTACATGAAGGACCTGACTGTCATTCAGCCAGAAATGTTATTGGACGCGGCACCACATTTCTACGAGAGAACGTCTATTGAATCTGTTTAATATATGTATAGTTAAAAAATAAAACTTATTCTATTTTCTACCTCGTTTCTCATTATATATATTTTTTACTTTATAAGCTTTTAAGTTTTAATTTTTCGATACATGTAGCGCGTGCATATTAAAAATTCTAAAATTTTTGTCGAAGTTTAGAAATTGCATTCTCAAAAATCAACAGACTATCAGGAAAACAATCACGTAGAAAGTATGTATTACTAATCATGATCAAAATTCTAACAATTATAATTTTAAATAGTCTGGAAATTTAAGTCTAAAAGTACAAGCTGTAAAAATTTAAATTCTTAAAAACAGATAAGTAAAAACATATAATGTCAAGAGAATATAACCACATCTTTTATTTTCTATATACAAAAATATATATACAAAGAAATTGAACAAAAGTGTTTTATATTTTGAAATAATTTGTCGGTAATGTTAAAATTATATACATACCAGAGAGAAAGATGAGAGTGGTCATGCCCACGTTTTGGCTGTACCCGTATCCTGTCGGTATGTGCACGTTTTTGTGGTTCCTTCCGTGCTATGTCCACGATTTTTTTATTCTCTTTGGAAATAAAACTAAAAAATCGTGAATCTAACGGAAGAGAACCAAAAAATCGTGAACATAACATGAAAAAAACTCCAAAATCGTTGACATTTTACTACAAAATAGTGGACATAGCACGGAAGAGAACCACAAAAACGTGCACATACCGACAGGACACGGGTACAGCCAAAACGCGGGCATGACCACTCTCATCTTTCTCTCTGTACATACATACACCTACATTTGATGTGTAGTTGTTGCCACCAGAGGCGTTGTATTTTTTTCTCTTTACGTTAAATAGAGGTTAGGTCGCAAGTCGCAAGTCTTGCTGGAGTCTGGAGTGTCTGGACATAACAGTCGAATTTTCCGCAATTTGGAACGACTGTTATCGTGTATCACATTTTATACAGTATTAAGTCCACGCGTAAGCGATTATGGCGTACGTATTTTTTACAAAAATTTTGATAACATTACCAGTAAAATTGAGTATACAACAAAAGATGTCGATACGATAAAACCATATGTTTTGTCAGTTCGAGTACAATGTTCTACAATATTGATGCAAAATTTAATGTGTGTTACAGGACCAAAGTCACGTTCAAAATAACTCTCACGTCCGATCCCAATCTGCCATATAAAGTGTAAGTGGCTGCTTAAAATAAAAACGGTGTCTTAGTCGTAGAATAACAATGCAGGCCGCCAGCTCTGACATTTTTAAGACCATCGACGCGTTCCTCGCGCTGCTGCAGAGCCCAACTGTTAGCGAACAAATTACTGTAGAAAATGCGACGCAAGCTTTCAACTGTGCTCACTTCGTCGAGCTCACCGTTGCCAAGGTGCAGGCCGAGGACAAAAAGTTGCCTTTTGAGAACTGCTTACGTCGGAAGCTAGAGCGAAAGTTATCTCCGCAGAATCGGGACGTTACGTGCTCCGATCTGGAAAAAGCTTGCGACAAATTGTTAGAATGTTATTTGAAGGACAGTCTTATTTCCACAGAGATAGTAGACGAGTATCTAAAACTGTACACCCAACATCTTGGACAAGACAGATTAAATGCTTTCCTGAACGAAACGATAGGCAGCTCCATGGCCACAAACATAGTTATAGAATGTTTAGGAGAGTTAGGAGTACCGTTGTCTTGCATGGAAGACGAGGCGTTAATTATGACATGGCAAATGGCGATAGCTAATGGCGATGAGGATGAAGTAGCGGAATGCATAGATAAGATGTTCAATGACGGTCACGTTTCGAGATTGGTACACTTAACGGTTGAGTCGCACGATGACACAATTAAGAAATTAGTTGTACAAGCTTTCAGCACGAAACTAACTGACTACGATCCTGAGATATGCGTAGCTTTAGCAGATACCGAAAAGAAACCACTTTTGAAATTACTTCAGGACAGCACCCAGTTTTATGTAGATTTCCTTGACGCGATATTCTACTTTGGCCGAAACATGCATCTTGTAGATGGAAAGTGGTGCTCAAATTTTAAATTCGAGTACAAACATCTCTGTCAGATAGTGAAAATTTTATTTAACGGTCCTCGCATGATTCGCGAGCAAGCATACAATAGAATGTCCACTGTTAAAACTCAACCAGGCAGTGAGATATGGAGTAACGTTGAAGCGGATATCTTGAATTGATTTTCCAGATTTGATATGTTTTATAATATAAATTATACTTTGTATCGTTCTGTAATGTGATTTTTGCAAAAAAAGAAAAAGAATAAAAATTGTTTATCGCATGTAAATCTGTTTTGTTAACGAAATAATCACCAATCCCATATTAAAAAGATATTTAAAAGTCTAAAAAATCTAAAAAACATAAGAAATATGTATTCACTTTTATACGGCGATATTTCTCTTAGCGTTATACAATTTTGCCAGCTTCCTCTGAAATAAGAAACACATGTATTATTTTATTAATTGCAGACTTAGTGTACCGGAAAATACTCCGTTTACTGCCGTGTTAAAATTTGCTGCTGAGGAATTTAGAGTGCCACCAGCTACCTCGGCGATAATTACAGACGATGGCATAGGAATTAATCCTCAACAAACTGCAGGTAAATCTTATAATTATATTGCATATATTGCGCAATATCTTTATTTTAAATATACGAGTATCGATCGTACAATCTATGCTTTCAGGAAATGTATTTCTTAAACACGGTGCGGAACTCAGATTGATCCCCAGAGATCGCGTTGGATGTACTAGATGATTTATTTAATACTATGTATTTTTATTTTTATTGTATCTTTGCATATTACGTAAAAAAATGACAAAAAAATTATTGCTGGCGGAATATTATAAAAGTGCATATATACACATAGATCATTATATAAAGTTATTATAAAAAGTTACTTATTCACAATAAAAACATTCCACATGCTTTCTGAACTAATTGAATCATAGCAATATAGTTATGGTAAGATTCTAATACAAAATATATTAAAAAATCTTTCATTTTACATATATTTAAGAAACAATACTTATACGATTATACTTATTAGATGGAGGATACGTAAGAATCAAACGTGATTAGAATTTTTGATAAAAAGGTTTTATAGCTGAAATACATGAACGTTATAAGATTGAGATATAAAGGTACATTACTATATGATAAAATTATTTAGACAGCAATGATTTACAGAGCACGAGATCTCGAATGTCATGAAACGTTCAGTCTCGTATATATATTTTTTTTTTTTATTATGCATCTTCATCTCAAATCTCGTGCTGTAAAAGATCGCGCTTTATTATTCATGATCTGGTCGTAAACGGATAGAGCTTGCTTGAAAACTGCAAAACGGTTACAAATATGGATTGTAATTTTGTGCAATATATAACATATACGAATAATCGAATAAAAAAAAAAAATTACATTAAGATATGCAACACTATCACACCTCCTTTCAATATAATGCAATATAAAGTCAGTAGTACGGACAAGACATAAATGGCAGCGACAAATCAAATTTCGTCTTATTCTTTACCTTTGACACGTATAGAAAATTTCTTAATACTTTCGAATGTTTCGGGACATCTTACAGGTCTAAAATGTGCAAGATACAAAAAATACTATTGATAATGGATTTTTGGCACTATGTTGATCAAATGCATTTGCGTGCCGAAATGCAAAGAAAAATAAGAAAAAGTTTATATATACATATAATATTCATAATTAAATTTTTCGCAAAGAAAAATTAGCGTTTTATCGTCAATTACAAAACTTGTTTTTGGAGGACATAGTACCATCATTTTTTTTATAACGACTAGTTTGTAAAAACCATTATTATGAAAAGCGAGATAAAATATTCTGATCTGAATATTCGTATGAAAAGATTATCGTTTAATAAATCGGCATTACATTCAGTATTTTGATAAGAAAAGATCGTAAAAAAGATCAGTCATTTTTTTTTTAGATTAATATTGTTTGAATCTTGCAGAGTGCTCAATGCTCATCGATCAAGACGTAAATTGAAGTATACTTCGCCATACAATTAAATTACTGGCTTACGATTACTTATTTACGCGTCGTATCTATCAGTTATTTTGTATAATGTCTTTTTGTATGTGCGTACAAGGATACCGTAAAAAACCTCTGCCCCACAATTCTGCGACGAGACTGTCATTTGCTCTATTATCACACATATACGATGATAGATTATATTATGACATATACATTGAGACCATTATTGACACTTGGCATTGCCGAAACGGAGATAAGTCTGGCACTGGTGTGGCAGTTAAATAAGGAATGTCAACTTCGACAAACTTCACGAAATAAATTACTTTTAAAGACCTAATAATATTGGTCGTAATACTGTTTTTTCTTTTTCTTATGAACGACAGATTGGCTGTCATTGTCTGTCGTTTCACAAATGGCACATATTGCAAATTTTGTTTTTCTTGTTTACAACGGGAACTTAATATTTAGAGCGAATAATTAAATACTCGTCAATAATTGTCTCTGACACAATTGATATCGTTCACACTCGGTACTGAAAAGCGTAATAAATATACTAGTATATTTGCTCTATGAAGAATTACTCATCCAATAAACTTCCAAACTGATATTCATTAAATAGATGAATGAAACTATTGTCAAATCGTATTATAAGTTTCTCAATTCTCTTGACAATAATTAAGCATATCCCTACTTCTAATATAATCTCTACAGTGATATACTATAGAATACTATAGAATTATTTGTAGCTAGAAATATATACGTGAAACAAATCAGCGATTAAAGAAAAATGATCTGGGACTAGAGCTATAATCACGCATTTTGGTTTTATAAGAACAGTGTTATCATATCGACACTGCGCTATATCAAATATTGTATTGATTTACGCCAGATTAAAAAATCTCTTGTGCCATTTACTTCGTTTATCTTTTCACTTTAAATTAATGTGGTTTAACAAGGCCTGAACTCTTATTTCTATGTATTGAAAAATGCGTTTACAAAATCTTAAGCTAGATTTATGAAAAAATGAGTATTAGTTGTTGTAAATTGATATAAAACACTGTACTTATCTCTCACTTCCTCCGCAAAAGAAAATCGTTGGAAGTATATCTCTCTCAGATACAACTGCCTCTCACTCTATACACAGTAACACTGCGATATTCTTGCCATTCGCGCGATATATAATTCTAACTTATAAATAATTTACGCGGCTCGAACAATATTACGTTTAGATTTTTACCTTACCGGTTTGCATCTATCCACAAGTCTTCAATTTTCACTCGTCCTAAAATAAAAATAAAGTTTTGATTTATCATCATATTTCTTGTAAAAAAACGTTTTAAACAAATGTTTTCTCGACTTCGAAATTTATTGCTTCTTACTGCCATTTTTATTAAAATGCAAAAAAAGATAATGCGGCACAAAAGATATTGTACACTCACATATAGTACAGCTACTGAATGCAAATTTATTAAGCTACTATGCGGTAAATAAATAACTACTTAAAAACCCGAACTTAACACGACAAATGAAACCTACCCATTCGTGTTCCTCGACACCTTCCATGTGATCTTGTTCTAGTGAACACTGGATGACATCTCCCACAAAATGGCTCATAGTTTTCTGGATCTGATGCACACATACCACACAATATGCTCAAACATAATATGAAACATGATATCATGATATCCCATAGAGAAGCAAGAATACCCCGTAAATACAATATGAATTTTAATAGCATGTAAGAAAATTGTTTTCTAGATGGTTTCAAGACATTTTTTCAAATAATGCATTTTGTATTAAATAATATAAGTCAAGCTTGTCACACTTTACAATGTTGCAAGTCATTAGAAAACTACATATTAAATTCGAAGCTTATACATGCAGCTATCCAATCGTGATTTTATCCCTCAATGAAGTCTGATGTTACAGATATGTGATTATATCTTGTAAAAGAAATAATTTTTACACCAATATCAATTTATAAGGTACATGCAAAATGCGTAAATTTAATTGCCATCTCACCTCTTCTTGTTTTGCCTTAATGTCCGGATTCCATCCTAATCTACTAAAGGGTTGTGTAGTGATACCAAAAGGAGTCGGTGATGGTTTGGTTGGAATTTGGGGAAGTGTAACTGCACTTTGGGATTGATTCTCAGTTACTGTGAATAAAAACTCGCATGTAACGGATATTTCCTTCCATTTTAAGAGTATAGCATTTCTTACTTACAATTATCCATACCAGGTGGTTTAAGACTCATTCTAGACGGCTGTTTATTGCCACCGTTAAACCACTCTGACGCGGATAAAGTCGGTTTCCAGATAACTTTGGTTGGGGGAAAGAGATCGTCTTGGAATAATTCGCTCTAATTGAAACGAATGAACACATCAGCGCTTTCACGTCAGTGATTTCATATTATATATATTGTGCGAATAGTATGTACCTTTATACGGGGCACGGTAAAGCTTAAAGGCTCTATTGTGTTATTTGTTAGTCTCAAGGCAGAGGCAAACTCCACGCTAGCCACGTCACATTTATTTTTCGGAAGGAATGACAAGCCCTGGTGCAAGCTGCTGCATCTATGGTGACTCAATGGACAGCAATATGGGGCTTCCTCGGTTACTTCAAATGCATATATTGTAGAATCGCCCTAAAAATAATGTTCCAAACAAAAAAAGAGTAAGATTACCAGGTAAACTTCTCGTGTAATTAAGCTTGAGTATAAAAAAAAGAATCTTACACGTCCAGTCAGGAAAAGCGTGGAGCTATCTTCGTCATAATATGGCATTAGTATGGCAGGCGAGACGTCCAATCCAACAGTGTTCAAAGGAGTATTCAAATTGTCCGCTTTAAATACGTAAATCTGTCTTTCAGAAACTCTGGAAGATATAAATATCGATCATTACTTTCTCCAAACATGTTTCTTTTTATTATATGTCAACAAAACATGTGGCGCTTCGTTGTGCTTACTTGTCAAAGCCCATTACAACGAGATATCTGCCTTCGAGCGCCCATACGACTCTCGCCCCTCTCGTTCCGACGGGACCCTTTCCCTCTTTCACGGGAACGTCGCTCGATCGAGGTTTATAGATACGTAGTTTACCGTCTTTGCATGCGCTGGCAAGGTACTGACCGCACGGTGACCATGCCAAACTGAATATCTGATCAGTATGACCGGTCAACGTGATTTTCGCAATTGCCGTCTCGGTAGATGACAAGAGCGATAAATCCCAGATTTTGACGGTCATATCGTACGAAGCGGATGCGAGAACATTTGACGCCAGTGGATGAAATTTGATCAGATAAATCTTGTCAGTATGGGCTTCTATGATGTGTTTCGGTTCGTTTGTCGGTTCCGCCAGACCAGACTCAGGTATTTCCCACAAGCGAATTATTCCATCGTCACAAGCTAGGACAAATAAATTCTATTATTCTCAAATCTGGGTGGAATAGCGTGTTTCTTTTTTGTTGTAATTTTCAACTTCTATACTTTACCAACTGCTAGTCGTTGATTATCGAACGGATCCCACTGAAAGTCCATTACAGCCGCGCCGTGAACCAATGCTGGCATAACTCCATCAGGTAGTCTTCCAGTTTTCTTCAATTCCAATACTGCTATCTTTCCACCTGGGCCACTCAAAGGTACAGCCACTCGATCGGGATTAGCTACAAATTTAGGAAATAAAACAGCCATGTTTATAACATTTAAAAATCTCCTTCAAATCTAGTATTATTGGGATAAACATACCATGAAAGCCATCGCACTCGCCGGATATTTGGCGACTGATATTGCGTACATTCTCAATGTGTGTAGATTTGTGTCCCGGAGTACCCTTCAAGTGGCGAAACTTGGACACTCTTCCTGTATAACAATCAAGGAATTTGCGTTGAACATCGCATCAAGAAAACAACTTTCAAAGTTGTGCGCAACCCTTACCGAAAACTGTCGACGTCCTTTTCGAAGCTGGCGTCACAACGGGCTCCACCTTTTCCAATTTAGGATCCATGCTCTGCTGTCGCAACATGGGAATGCTCTTCTTCGTTTCGTCTTCTTTAATCACCTCGCTCTTTGCCTTGAAGGAATCTCTTCGTCTCAGCATGGTCGGCGAGCCCATTGCCTTTTCCGCCAAATTCCCATCGGTGACAGACACGGATCGACTTTCGTAAAGGCGCCGCCTTTCGGCGATTGAATTTCTATTCGTGCCGCGTTCGAAATTCCCAACATCCTCGTTCTCGGGCGATTCGTCCTTTACTTTCGTCTCGAACACTTTGCGTCTTTCCGCGGTGCTCGGTGTCTTCGGCTTGTAACCGGAGTCACTGGAATTAGCGTCTTCCTCGATAGAACTCGAATCACTCTTGCCATTTTCCGTATCTTTTGTGCGCTCATTAGGTGTTAAGGTCGGCGATTTATCTGCCTCTGTATTATGCTCTACAGTGTTATTAATTTCATTCTGATAACCATTGGTATTGCTGTCATTATTCGGTGCAAGTGGTACAGAGAAGACCTTGTCAAATGAAAACTCCTGGCTGCTGGACTTTGCTTGGAATGGTTTAGGACCAAGTCGGGGCTAAAATTAAAAAAAACAAATGAGAAAATTTTTATTTGCCTCTAGCTATCTTTTGAAAATTGTTATCAACTGTTAGTAATGGTATGACAATGATGATATGAATGTGATGTTATATATATAGGAAGAAACTGGGTCTCGCATGCAAAAGTGTCACGCGTTGTCACAGAAATCAAATACCCGGCCTCTATGTATACATTAATTTCTTTTTTAAGTTAATTATAACCTTATATCCGCCGATTGCATTAGGATTCACTGATGTAACTACTGATCCGGGATTTGGCGATGTACGAGGACGCGCTACTGGTTTTGGTTCCTCCTCGGAGATACTGTTGGTTCTTGATGCTCTCGGCAAAGGTTTCGGTGGAACGGTTTGTCCTCCATTCTGTATCTTGGTCTTTTCTTCTTCTGCCTCGGATGGCTTTTTCGAATCTTCGATCTTCTCGTTATCGTTCTCCATATTGGTGTCATTTTCGTTTACGTTCACGTTCACGTTCACGTTAACGCTCTGCGGTTTTGAGAATCCTTTCGGCCCAGTAATGACCAAGGGTTTCGGTGGCCGGTTCGTTTGTTCTACTTTAATTTCGCGCTGATTGTCTTTGAGTGCCGCTAAGTTCCCTTTGTGTACCTGGAGGTACGGTAAATTCCTTAATGACCGCAAACCGCATGCAAAACCAATCTACACTGCCCGATACTTTGCACTTTTGATATACATTTCTGCACAATCGATGCGATAATTTAATAATAGTCAACAATTTAGCTACATTCACATTATTTTTACACATATATGTACACACGTGACTTGCATTTTTGTACAGAATAGACAGCAATATACAAAGAAAGATACGAATAAGCTCCAATCGCTTATCATAAAGCTTATCTTGTGATTGAAAGCGAATTTGTAGAAAGAAATTAATCTCATGGCCATATAGACAATATACAAATGTTTTTTACATTTCGTACTATTACTTACACTGTAGAATAAGCTACAACATCAATTGCCACTTATATTACACGTGCCAGGAATAATAGTTTGAATGGTGCTAATGTATAAATTATAAAACATATATTGGATATCTGAAACGTGAAAAAAATATACACAGAATATGGAGAAAGAAACTAAATAGCGCAAAATAAATATATATATAATTAGTAATAAAATAATTTAATAAATATGAATTCCTGTAAAGTTATACCTATATAGAGATATAAAATATTATATAATAAAATTATTTCTTAAATTATATTCATCCCTTACATTTATAATACATAATATTATACCAGAAACCACTGAAAAATTTAGCACTTATATAGCATAAAAAGTACATTGTAAATATTTATTATATAAAAGTTCGTATGTATTCAGCAAGCAATTTTTAAATAAAGTTACAGTGTAATACTTCTACAAACAAAATAACTGCTTTGTATAAAATAAGTGACATCATCAAATTTATTACTTTTTAAAATTTTAGAATACATGTATAACATAATTTACTTAAAAATATATATTAAAATAAATATTGTAGTAAATACATGAATAAATTGATATTATAAAACTCTATATTTATTCTCAAAATCCAATTATTTTAGAGAGTAAATGAGATGATAATGCGAGAAAACATTATGATGATGAAAAGCATGCAGTGATTGATGATTTGAATTTAAAGCAATCATATAACTGATATTTACAAATAAGCAAACAAATTTCTTTTAACGATCAAAGCTACTTCAAATGTGTGCCACGTTAAGAGAGATGTTGGAACTTTCACAACATTTATTAAAATGTTTACTCACAGTAATCGGATCTTCGCCTTTGTTTCTTTTAGCAGGATCTAACGATATCTTTGGCACAGGTGCATTATGACCCTTAACCCACGATGTTGCATTATTTTGAGCAACGGGACCAGCTGTGTCCGGATAAATGTCTGCATGAAAGTCTCTGTATGTCTGAAATTTAATGTTTATTAAAAAGTTTAGATATATGTATGTTGTATGTGGAAATTCACATATATAGACAGTATTTAATATAACTTACTTTTCGTGGAACTTGATACATGATAGGAATCACCATATTGGAGGTGAGTTGTAACAGCCTGTTAACTTCAGCCTGCATTACATTTAATGCTCGTTTAGGAACCAGGCACACTCCTTTAGTTTGCTCACCGCTGTGACGAATTCCTTCCACGAGATAAGGATCTCTGTCTGTGACTTCCATGTACATAATAGTGGTGTCTCCTTTGCCAGCGAGGAAGAGCATATTTGTGTCGGAATCGAAAAGCGGCATCAAAATACTATAAAATATAAATACAAATAATTATCTTGGTAATTATACTTAGCGTTACTAATTAAATAAATCTCGAGTTTTTCCAGGTAGGTTGAAAATCGAATTCAACTCATATTTACCCAGTACTACAATCTAATTCCAATGTTTTCACTGGCTCATTTAAATGCCTCAAGTCCCTAATGTAAACTTGACGCAGTCTTGCTGCATCAAATCCTGTGGTGAGTATTCGGTCGCTGTTTAACCAGACTATTCTGGAATCTTTAATACTTTGATGGCTCGAGCATGAATTGACGATACACGGCGATGCGCGCGGATCTATAATCCTCAGTTGTTTGTCCTTGCAGCATGTCGCTAAAACAGTACCGTCCTCCTTCCAACTTACAGACTGAATTACTTCGGTGTGGTCGCTATTGTTAGCTGTAACAACGTGAATTTCATAAATGAGAGAATAAAACAGTGAGTGTTAGTAAATAAAGTTACAAAATATTTACAAAATAGTTCCTGTTGCGAGAGAACATCCCAGAGCGAGAGATTGGTGAATGATGCAGTGGTCAGAAGATGTTCGGCAGAAGGATGCCAGCATACCGCTTCCACTCTTCGCTGACGGTGCGAGAACGTGCATTCTGGATTGCACAAGGATTCTTCTAAGCCACTTTCTGGGATGTGCCATAATTTTACCTAATTTTATACAAACAGAATTAATTTAATCTCTAGAAAAATGTTTGAAAATAGTACTTTACATTTATTCATATTATGCTCGCCAAAAATAAAGCACGAAGATGCTTACGAGACAATCCTGAGACCCAGTTGCGAGCAAGCCGTCATGAAATGGAGAAAAATCCATATCCGTCACGGTATCTGCGTGTGCATGAAGCAATGGCATAGTCTTGCTCTTTCTGCCACAGTCCTCCAGCGGTAATACTGCCAGACTGGATCCTTTGGACGATAAGAAGTTTTTTTTAGAATAATTTGTGAATAAAAATTCAAGTTTAGAAGATAAGAAGATTGCAGATAAAGAGTGTACCGTTATGATCAACATTGAATGCCATGAATGCTGCGGATGCTGTTATATTATTCCCATAAGTTTGATAGGATCCCACGGAGATATCCCGAATACAAGCCTCCGGCTTGGGAACGATCGGCGCTGCATTTTTGTATTTGGACGCTTTGAAACGCCAAGCCATTTTGACACTGCTGACTCAGTTTAAATGTCCAGGCAATCCTCCCTTAAATCATGTAATCTGGAGGAAATAAAACCACCGGGTTACATCATTGGAATTTCATTAACAATAAATTTCGAAAGATTGGATGTAATCGTATATTATGTTTGCTCTATCTTAGCACTCTTAAAAATGTGCAATTATTGAAAAGTGTGAGATAATTCCCGAGCATATGTGGGAAACATTACAATTTTTTAAAAGACCTACAGGCACAATTTGGGCGCAGGACAAAGGCGAGCGTCCGCGGAAATCTTTTACGGAGACAATTCTCGCGAGAAAACTCAATCGGGATTTCGCGCAGGGACACTCAAACACATGCGAATAATTCGCTGGGCGTTGCTCTCGCGGCGCGGATAATGGTAGGGAGAAATCGACGCCGGAGTCTCTTTCTCTCCCGAGGCTGGGCATCAACCGCGTCGGTGACAACAAGCGAACGACGCCGACGCGATTCGCTCGGAGCCGCCTGAGCAAAGCTGTGCGTGACTAATAATTTGGGGGTGGAGAACCACCCTACCCTTCGTGCGACGTGTGGGGGCCGTAGGAGTAGATCGCCGCTTGGCGTTGCCGCAATGACGCTGTCAGCGGCGACGCGTAAATCGGCAGACGAGGAGACACCAGACAGGACGGAGGGATACTCACGAATTTCGCAAATCGAAGCGCGTGTCGAAACACGCCTCTCGTTTCACCGACTCGCGCTTTCGCGGCGAGTATCCGGGAATGCAAGCCGGCAACGAACACGAGAGAACGACGAGAGCCAGGCGTCACCGCTCTACGTTACTCTACCGAGCTCTGAGACCAAGCTCTCTTGACAGCCGGAAGCAGGAAAGTCCCCCTCCACCCTCCTACGGAGCGCCGCACTTTATCCCTTCTCCACGATACATTGTTTGAAGTCTCTTATAGATATATCGGCGATTACTTTGCTCACATTGCTGTTACTCAATATACATTTATCAAAGTTGTACGTGTCTACGTTTATCTTTATTTATGTTCGTTTGCTCAATACGCGACGTATATAATTTTTCCACATCGATATATTTTCCCGAATAAAATTGCGGAATAAGATATGCGAGATCAAAGGGAGTGATACGAAACTAAAAAATAAAAAAAAAAACAAATTTTATGATAATTTCGCGTGTAGTAAAAGTGTAGTAAAAGATATTATTCTTTTAAAAGAGCCAGCTGCAGCAAAGGCATTACTTTTAATGAGGATAAGTCTGCTAACACAGCCTGAAAATAGAAAAAAATATATATTAGATAGTAAATATATAAAAATCTATACAACTGCATATAATTTACGATGGTGTCATTTCTGTACCTCTACATTCTGTTGAGTATTAACTTGCAGTAAATTTTCTTTTCGAAAACTCAATATTGTCACCGCTAATAATGGGATAATTTCCAAAGAGTCATAACCGAGAATTAAATCCCAAAGATACAATAGCTGTTCAGGCGGTAAATGGCCACTGAAGCCCCTCATGAGCCATTTGAAAACTATTTTTATGCTGAAAATGTATAAGCGTTAAATTGACGGTCCGCACGAATAACGTCATAGTAAGAGAAAGTGATATAAACTCACGGTTGAATGTGTATATTTTTGAAATGGGCCCACAACTGCGGTTCATGGCATTGCAGTAATCGTTCAAAAAGCAAGCAGAGGGCAACTATACCTTGCTCGTGGCTCGATACAGTGTGCAAACGAAACCAGTATCTCAAGTAGAACGCACGGAAAGTACAATACATGGCGCAGGGATCATCATATAAATAACAAAATGGCGTGGCTGGCATAAAAATATTGACAATTAATTAATTAGACGCAAACAGTATGTGTATATGTTACATATTTCTTTTGCAACTCCTTACCGTACATTGTAAATCCGTGAAACGGAATAACGCCGCTTGGTGGAAAGACCAGGGTATTTTCCAGCGTCGCTGGTTTGCCTTGCAAAACCGCGTGGATCACCTGACCCCCAGCACTTCTGTCGGTTGTGACCGGCGCGAGTATCTCGGAATCTCTTGAGAAGCACAACATTGTCTTATACAAAACGTCTTCGAATACAAAGTACTGATCGTCGTTTCTCGCCGTCAATTGTACGTCCTACAAGATTATATCCACATACAGGGTGTTTCACGTTATGTCTTTTATTTAAAAAAGGGGCTAACGTAATTTTAAAATATAAATTACCATTATTATCAGCTTGTCTACTACGATATCATATTGCAAAACCATATTTTTCAATTCCTCATAATATTCTACATCCTAAAAGAAAAAAATTATCTATACTTAGTAACCAGAGACATCAATCTTCAGCTCAGCAACGTACGACAAAGATATCAATCATACGTTATCTTTGATAACAGATCCGAGAACGAGTGACCAGATACGGCCGCGTAACGCACGAGGAGATCCTCTTTTGAGAAACTCTTGAGCAATCGGGGCGTGATTCGAGTTCAATACTTTTTCGCCAATGTGCGTTCGCTCGGCTTCTAAATTTGGAAAGTTTTCCGTGGCCAGCATATCGGGATTTACTCCCAGTAATGGCATTCCCTGCGCTAATTCTGAATACATACGCCTCTACACAAAGAAAATTTCTATACATACATACAAATACACAAATTATAAATTACAGAAGCGATTGGACAAAATTCGTACCAATTGCGCGAGCGTTTTTACACTAATTTGTATGTGACTGAAATCCCAATTTAATTCGTCTCTGAAATGTTTCAAATAAAAACTCGATATACATTTTTATTCCAATAATGCTGGTTTGATTTCTACACAAATCTATAATTACACACGGTTGCTTTTTGAACGATGGATCACGTATGGAGAACAATACATCCAGGAAGTCCTTCGGCGCGTACAACGGTCGGTATTGCGACAGATCTGAAAATCATACGTCGTAAATAATCCCCCAAGCAGAGCTTTTACAATAAATCTTTAAATTTGCCGTAACATTTACCGATGTCGTAAGTGCTCAACTCATTCCACTTTTCGGCCAGCTCGTCCCTATCCGCAGTAGGCCTTATACGAGCCAGTGGAATATTCAATTCGCTGCACGTCGAGTTCAACGATTTCTGTATGCGCCGTTCCCATTGAATCTGAGTCTTCTTCAAGTAGCTCAGGTCAGCTGTCTGTATGTGCGAAACTGATCGAGAATGTAACGAACCCTATAAAAAAAGAAAAAAAGAGAGAGATCCATGTATGTCAATTTCTATCAATGCAGATATTAACTTTAATCTCTAGTTTAACTTACGTTTTATCTTCCGCCAGTTCTAAGAACTAGAAGAAGCTAAAGAGTAAGTTATAAACCGAGATTAAAGTTAATCTACATTGGCAGAAATGGACATTAGGCGGATATCTTATAATCAAATTAAGGAATTCATTGTGGGGGAGAGTACCCGCGATCGCGCCCAGTGAAACACCGTGTTTCGGATCTCCGTTTCCAGACCGTTATCCTTGAGTGCCGTGATCAGCGAGTGCTTGAAATCGTTTCTGTCCACTGCGGGCGACGCGACGAGCCTCTGCGAAAGGACAGAATGGAAAATGCAATGCCTGTCAAGAACAACCGTCGAACACGACGAACACGTGTACCTGTATCTCGCTGTAAAGCGCCCTGTAATTCGCCATGCTCTGTATGTCGTCGGCGAGCTTCCGCGCCGTCTTGTCGAGCGAACTCGCGCCCGCCGCGGTCCCCTCGTTCATTTTTCGTCGCGAAGTCGTCCCCGGCCGTCCCGCGAGCACGTTGACAGCGAAATCGAAAACATGCGCCATTTTTAAACGGACCCGGTTTCCGGGGCAACGCACGCAGGGCGTCGCAGGGCCGAATTCGGTCTACGGCGGGCCCCGGGTCTACGGGGGACAGATGGATTGTGGAAAGAAATTTAACATCGTTATACTACGTATCGGACAACAATGCGAGATAACTTGAATTGTCGTCGTTAAGAGCTAATTATTCGTGTCGATTATCTCGCGCTGCGATAATAAATATTTGTCAAAACCTAATGCAGTGCGTCTGGTGTGGTCTTTTTGAGGAGCAATTCTGCCAATCGCGCGATTGGCCGATGCAGCCATATTGAACTTCCGGGATGACTTCGGTCTTCGACCAAACTTCGATTAACTTGAGCGGCATTCATCATATATGTTTCATTTAACTTTAATCTCGGTTTAATTTACTTTTTATCTTTTTCTAATTCTTAAAATTAAAAAAGGATAAAAAAGGTTAGTTTTAAGCCGAGATTAAATAAGTTAATCGGCATTGGTGCAGAAATGGGCATTAGATGCTATTCGATTATCTCATTGGCTGAATGGAATCTTAAGGCCACCTATGAGATCAGATTTAAGACAATCTTTTGATAAAAGATAAAATCTATAAATATCATGATCGCGATTGACCGGCGATTAACCTGTCGAATAATAACCTGCGAGATATTCCGTTAATTCCCATTATAATTTTTTTTATTGCTTAGAAATTCACTACATTTACGCGAATGTTACTTCTGTAGTAACTTTACGATATCACTCATTTACGCGAAGGAATAATTATCGTAAAAGTTACTACAAAAGTAAACGCTCGCGTAAATAACGTAGTAATGGAAAGAAAAATTATAACTTGTCGAAAAGTATATAATGTATTTGTTTCGTTAACATAAACGAAATTACAAGTTTTTTGTTATTCAACTTTAACACGTGGAAAAAAAGATAAAAGATTAGAATAAATTAAAGTTAAGCGATAAATTAAATCAGAAACTAATTATTCTTGTACTATTTCGTTAAAACACGGGCAGAATTATTGTTTGCTGTTTGATATGTGAAAAGATTAGATCGGAAATTATACGGTTAAAAATTTTGTCGTAACCAATTTATCGGTTGAACTATCTGCCGATTAATTTAATCGGAGTTTGGTCAAGGTAAAAAAAATCATGAAAGTTCGAACGAAAACAACTCTACCGCTTTTTTTCTTTCTTTCTCTCTCTCTCTCTCTCTCTCTCTTTCTCTCTTTCGATGTGCCATTTCGAATTGGAATTTCTCTTCCGGCAGAGCGCGAGAAAAATATCGTTTCCCGATCCCCGCAGCTTCGAAATGCGACCCACCTCCGGCTCTGTCGGCCCCGTCTGTCGATTCGCGGCCGTGGCCGGCTACGCTCTCCCGTAGGAAAATGGCGGCGCAGTCTGACCCGGTGTTGTTTTGAAAGGTGCGTTTTCGATGACGAGCGAGCGACTGCGAGGCCGCGATCCGAGCACCATGGATATCTCGAGCATGCTCGAGGTACAGGTGAAGGTGGAGGCGGACATCAAGGAGAACGGTGAGCAGGGCGTTTAGGGGTCGAGCGACGGTGACGCGCGGCACTCGCCACCCGTAGAGTGATTTTTTACTGGAACGACCGCTCTAACCTACCTATCTACCCTCGCGGGTTTTTTTTTCTTTTTTCAGTGACACCAGGAAAGGAGAAGGCGCCCAGCACGACCGGCACGACCACCACATCGGTCTCCCAGGAGGAGAGCAATTACTACAAGCTCATGTTCGGCAACGGTCAGCTCTCTAGACTGTCTAGACAAGAATCCACTGAATGCCTTGGCTTGTAACGAGTAGTTCTTAATTTAGTTTATAGTTTAGTCTCGCTTTTTAATTGCGCTCTAGAGCCCGAGGTTTGTCACGAAGGATACGAATTACACGGGAGGCCAAGACGCTTCTCCCAAAGCCACGAGAATTGTACGTCGTAGTGTAAATTTTGTGTCTAATTTTGCTTCCAGATATCGCAGCCGTACGATTCCGTAGAATTCACTGCACAGCCTGCGACGTGCACATCGGTTCCGCCCCGGCTCAGGCTCATAACATGTTCGAGCATCCTGTGCTCCGTACATTATTGTGCGCGAGTTGTCGTGAGTTTTATGGAGATGGCAGTTTTGAACAGGGTATTGATTGTGTATTACATGCTGCATTTGTGTGTGTGTGTGTGTATCTAGATAATCATGATAATTCATATTCTTTTTTTGCATTTTCAGGTGATGACGCTACAGATATGTTTTGTAGATGGTGCGCGAACGGTGGCAATTTATACTGTTGCTCGTATTGCAGCAACACATTCTGTTATAAATGTATAAGGAGAAATTTTCCACCTCTGGTGAGAAAGAAGATCGAAGCGGACGAGAAATGGAAGTGCTTTGTATGCAATCCGAGTGATTTGTATAGTGGGAGAGCTGTGTGTTGGGCTCTACTTCAACACGTGCAAACTGTGACAAGGTACTGCAAAGATATGAATATTACAAGAACGTATCAATTATCATTGAATTATATCACTTATGAAAATCATGAACCTTTGTTATATATTGATATTCATATTTGATCCAATAAAGTGATTTAACACTGCGCGGACACCATGGGCCTTTTAAGGCACAGTCGATTTTTCATTTATAATTTCCATGAAAATGGGGGAAAAAAAATTTGCTACAGTTCCGGCTTATGTAAGTACAGAAATCACTCTTTGAAACCTTAAAGATGAGACGTGAATTTCTATAGATTTTTTGTACCAGAAATGTTTTTTCAAAAACTCTTTAGTCTTAAAAGTCCTAGGGTTTTGGGGTAAGTGCTCCAAAAATATGGTGTCCGCGAAGTGTTAAAATTGGCAATGAGAGTGCAACACGGTTGTTGGTGCATAAAGTATAAGAAAATTAATATTAATTTAAAATTAACGGTACCGTATACTTACAATGTGTTGTACCATTGAACGTACAATGCAAATGCTGGTAACAAGAAATTTATTATACTGATAGGAGTACAACGTTGAGCGCGATGCGCACCGGTCGCGCGTATTACAAACGGAGGGCAATTGTCAAAATAGAATAATTGTTATATAGTTTATGCGCTTCGGATTTCAATCTTTTTCGGAGGCACTCCACGTTCAATATATAATATGCGAACAAATACGAAGTAAGCGTCAGTACTGTGCGAACTCACAATCAGAGCAATCGATCTATATGAGTCAGCGTTGTTCGAGCGACTGTGTTCGGCGCAATCTCGGATACCGCAGATTCGGCGATCTCTCCCCGGTTCGACAATTCGTGCACGATGCCCACGCGTGATCGGGCCGTACGGCCTCAGCCGTTACAAAAGTCTATAATATATACAATACATGTGTCTTTATTTTAAAATCTGAAGATGGTTCAAAGTGGAGTCGAAATACTCGTATTTATTATTACTAGGCTTTGTTATTTTTAAATAAAATAATATTAATTTTCTGACAATTTACGCACTAACAATCGCGTTGCATTTTCATTGTTCATTTTAAATCAATTTATTGGTTCATTATCGAGAGTTCTTTTATTCAATTTTTTACTACATTTGATACGGTGTATTTTAGGATTCTTGCGCACGACAAGAAGATGACCGCTCAGGAAGTCGAGGAGAAGATGAATTTTGATGAAACAACGTGTTGTCCGCGCAGAAATAAACGTAAGCGTCGAAGACTTGAATCCAATTCCGAGGAGGAAGACGAAACGTACACGCCTAAAGTCAATGGGGCACCTGCGTACATAAAACGTAAACCACTAAAAAGACAAAGATTGAGCAGCCAATCCACTACGAACGGCATTGTTACGAAAGAAGTGCAGTTTTACAGACCGCCGATTCCCATTAGACCGCGACCGGCATCGTTTCTGAGCGGCCGATCTCTTGATACTGAATCGAATTCTACGATCAGTCACGAAAATTCAGTCACGAATGAATGGACTGAATTGAAGGCGAAACGTATCGTCCTTTCATCGCCTAGCATAATAAAATCGAATACCTCGTTACCATCGCGATTCGATCCTAATGCGTTGCAGCGACAGCCTCCCTTGTATCACGCGTCTTTCATGAACACTAAGGGATCTGCCGCTTACATTCATACGCCTGTGAACGCCACGGTGAATCCGACGAGAATCATTCTTCCGCCACGGCCGCAGCAACAGTCGACGTCGTATCAATCTCAGCAGGCGAGCTCGTATCAGTCGTTGCAGCCGCTTCAATCTTCGCCAAACACGATGGTGTCGATACCTAATCCAGTGGACAAGCACGGAAGACCTGTATTACTGCTTTCAAAGCCGGAAGAATTGAATATAACTCCTAATATAATCGAGCTCGACAGCGACTCCGATGACGAAAAGGTCACGCGGCAAGAAAACTTGACGACCGCTGAGAGCACTCGTATGAACGTTAATACTTTTTCCAAGAAAGTTGTACCTGTTGCTCTCACCTGGGAGAATAGTGATGACGATGTCGTGAGGGAAGAACAGCCCTTGAGAGAGCTCCGCGCGATTATAGAAAAGGAACTTTCCTTCAGTGAAATAATGTTGCCACATAGCCGAGAACTCGACAAAGTTTTAACTAGAGCGAAGGGAAAAATGTATAATTTATTTGACGTGAACAAGGGAGGCGAGAACGTTGAAGCGGAGGCCGAACAAAGAATCAGGCATTTCTCCTGCAAAATGCGTGACACACTCTTTCAGTTAGTGGACATTAACGATAGAATAATACGCCAATACGCTGATTGGAGGAGATCTCGGAAAACAGAAACGTCTTCGATCAACGAAAATACATTAGTATCCCAAGAAAATGTAGATATTCCTTTAGATATGGTTTGCGTCAATGATTCTGATCCCGAACCCGAGAGCGAGAATCAGAATTATCTGATCAGGGAACCAACTGATGCAGTTAAAAACAGTAATGTTATTAAAGATTTGTTAACTGTAACTAAGAAGAGTGTAGTGCATCGTGGTGTTGGTGATGACAGTGCGCACTCTGCGGACAAAGCGATTCAGGTGTATGGCACTGTGTATGACATCTTGAAGGATTATGAGAAAGTTATCGGCTATTCTGTATGTACGAGACCCGATCAAAATCCGAAGGACGACAGTGTTTCGAATCTACCGGCCGAATCTGACAAGAATTTCGGCAAATATGAGGAAAAGTATATCTTCTTTTTGCAGAACATCGAGGATAACGGCATTGAAACGGAAGATATGGAAGAAGCAGGCTTAGATGAAATGTCACTTCAAGAAGCGGTAGAAACGAGTCCATTTATTTCGCATTTGTTGCAAGATACCGATTTACCTGTTGTATCTACTGATCAATCGGAAAATTGCCAAGAAGAAAATGAACCAAATTCGAGTGATAGCATTATTAATTCAGTGACCAAAGATGACGAAAGTGACACACTGGATGAGAAAACTGATAACGAAATTGTTAATAATTCCACTACCAACACAGAAGGGACGGATATGCAATTAGACGACAAATTGCAACAAACGGAACAACAAACACAAGAGACTTCTCTAGATACGACTGATGGAGAAGCGATAATGTCAGATAATAAAGAAGCAAACTCAAATAAAAACGATAATGTAATAAACATGGAAGCAGTTGCTCCCACGGGAAATGAGGAGGATTGTACTATTATTAATTAATGAAAGGGATTGTTTGTTAACGTACTGTTTTTGGTTAAATACTCTTATGATCTAATTGTAATTGATGATTAATAGAAATGCATTTTGATTTGGAATTTTGATATTTTTCAAAAAAGTGCGATACCTCAGAAATAATTTGTATTGTATAAAACTTGTACATTTCATTCATAGATTTGAAAGAAGTCCGAAATAAAATAGAATTCTGAAATAGAAAAGATTTGTTTTCAAAAAAAAAAAACTTTTTTGAGTTTATTTTTAAAACATACAATACATATTTTTAATATATTCTGAACATATAGACAACTTTGTCAAGAATTCGCTTCGACAAATATCTTAGGAAATAACATCTCTAAATTGTATCTAGCCAGAGAACTAGCAATAAATACGATTTTTCTTGGAACTTTATGATTAGATTTAATGATGTGCACAGATTTTTCTAATTTTCTACATATTTTCATTATTTAGTGACAAAATAAATTTAATAGGTTTTCTTGACGGTTTAGGTTTCTATTCATGAATAAAAATTTTTCTCAGTAACATAAATTAAAATGTCATATACATTTTTTCTTTGATATTTCTGTATGTTATAATTTTCATTTTAAAAAAGGCAACTATCAATTATTTGTATTTTTCAATATTTAGCGGGACTTGAAGGAATCTTTCTATCTAAAACTTTTCATATTAACTATTCTCATAATTATTACTGTTAGTATATTAATTTAATAATTAACTTTTAATATTATTATTATATATGTTAATAGTAATATATATTATACATATGATGATATATATTAGTAATTAATATATATAATTATTAATAATATTACTATTATCCCTATGACGATTAATATGCGAAATATTTTGTATGAGTAATATTGATATATCGATTTTATAACAATAATCTCGATATAGACATAGATATGCTATTTTTCCATGAGTCAGTCAAACATGTCGAATTCATTTCTTCTCATATTACATTCACGAAAAATATACAACATGAAGTCATAAAAGATAATTAATTATTAATTATTGTTTTACTTTAATCCCCAAATAGCAAAGTTTGAAGTAAAATTAATTCTAAAATATCATTTTATCTCTGTTGAAATGAGAAAATATCTTTATTTATTTTAATAAACAGCAAGAATGGAAAAACTGACGTTGTTTAAATATGTAGTTTGAATTACGCAATTATGCAATTCATATGAACTTGTACATAAGAGTATCGAGCTCTATGTAAAAAAAATATATATATATAAAATGTCGCGCTTTTTCTTATAGTATGTTATTCTGATGAATTACATTGTAAATGGATATTCGTCGAATATTTCTTTATTATTTTTGTCATTATAAGCGTACATGCTATGTAGTAAATACGAACACGTCGTATCTCTCATACTTATTCCCACGGCTTATTCCTAAATACTTGTAATTGGAAATTGTGCGCATGTGTATACATTTAAAAGTTTATGAGAGAAAAGGAAGAAAAGTGTACGAAGCAAATAAATTGTTTATACATCACACATATACGCTAGACTACTTTAGATTTAATATAATTTATGAAACATAAGTCTCGCGATTTAGGCCATTGTACATATTTTCTTTCAGCGGCTATAAATATTTCACTTTCGTTGAAAAATTCTGCTTAGCACTGCCTAAATAAACTTAATATAAACAGTCAATAGTCATGTGTAATTGTTTTCTGTAAAATAATAATTATAACGATCGTTTCTCTCCAACGTATTTTTATTTCATTTTTCTTGTATACATATATATATCAACTCACAGAAACGTAACATTTGTCCAGTCAAATAGACATATTATTTTTGTTGATACTTATTCATTTTATATTACATGTGAAGACGCATGTAAGTCTCGCTATAATAATTTCACTAAATAAAATTGTCCATCTTTTAATTGTGTATACCTCAAGAGTTTTACGAACATAGCGATTATATAAAGAAACTGAATTTGATAGAAAATTAAAGAAGTATTAGATACTTATAGCTTTTCATGGACGTTTTGTACATAAAAAAAGGCTTTCCTATCTCTCTTTTTATTACTGCCATACACGAAGGATTCGCATTATGTTGCTGTCGTTGGTACTTACACTTTTATGTTACAAATATAGAAACTGATGATATAGCTCGTAGAACGTACTTGAGCAAGTAGTCTTTGTGATAATGATTCGTTTAAATAATAATGTTAAGAAACAAAAACGATAATGTCGAGTCGGTTTAAATTAACAAATTAATGATAAATGCGATGCAACGCAAAATACACGAGAGCACACATCGTCGGCACTTCGTCGCTGATGACACATATACGTTGCATTGTGGAATCATTGTTGCAGTGTTGTTCCTAGAACTCTTCATTCGTTCGTAGAATGAACAGATAACTTCTCAGTATCGAAATTGACCCTTTTTGCCCATTCCATTATGGTACACTCTCAGCGGCGTGTAATTTCCATTTCCGTTCATCGCTACATTTGCAAAAAAAATTATGAAAACGAATAAAAATTATAAACATAGCGCGCGTTCGGGGAACAACACAGTTCTCCATGATGCATGCAGAAAAGGGAGGAATCTCTCGAGGAAATGCGCAGAACTGATCTTTTCAGATCTTTATCGATTTTAGTTTATCGTAAAAACCAGAAAAGCCAGTTCTGAAGATTTCCGCGTATATAAGACATTATTAGATAACACGTAAATTACATATGCTTCGAAGAACCTGAAATAGAAAATCTCGAACGTGTTCGATCACTTACTCAGTTCATAATCTCTTATGGCAGCTTGCAAAATCAAAGTCGACGTTAGAGATAGTGAGAGAACTTGATATGCGCGTGTTAAAAGTACCGCTTACCTTGCACGATTGTGGGGGGTTGACGGGGACCCTGGATGGTGTGTGCATGACATCTCGGCTTCAGTAGACCATGATACAATACGAAATACAGGCCGGCAACGATGGCCGCCGCTACCGCCATACAACGATAGACAAACCTCAGCGACTGTACGAGATCCTCGTCGCCGAAATTGATGTAAGCACCGATGACGGCTCCGAGACACCGGCCTGCGTGCGTCGGATATAGAAATCAATAATTCAGTCCCACCTATTCAGTTCAGTTATAACGTTCAGTCAACTTGGGAACGTACCGACGCAAAAGTGAGCTATCACAGGCAGCGCTTGGGCAGTCACAGTTAAATGACGCGGTACCAAGTGTCTCAGGTAGAGAATGGCAGTAACCCACATTATTCCTAAGGTGAAGACTTCTAAAGCTCCCGAGATTAGAGACCACCAAGGGTCAGATACGAGACTCAGTCCGGTGAACCTGGTCAAATATATCAATCTCGCATCAATTTTTGATATTTCTTTAAAACGCACGAAAATGGCTAACGAAAACTTAGCGATAAGATCTTCTTTCAGTTAGACCGACAGCTATCACGCGATTATCAAATTAGAAAAACTTACCTACCTGATTATGTACACCGTGAAGGCAGTGATGAGAAGATTACTGTGTCCACAGTAATCTACAAGATGCTCGGACTTCCAGAGGAACAGGGACGCAGCTACCGCTTTGATCGTCATAGCGATACCGATGGAAAGTTCATCACCCCCTAGTTTTTGCAGATGCCTATGTAAAAAAAAAAAGAATATAAGAATTCCTAAACGAATGCGTTATCGCGATTAAATTATTTCTATAATAACCCGAGACAGACTATTTTAATTAACTCTTACAAAGGTAGGTAGCTGTCTATCACACTCCAAAAGGTTCCCATGACTAGCAGGACGAAGACCAGAGCGGCGGTCTCGCTGCCGTACCTCTTGACAGCGCTCATCGGCAGCGCTAGCATGCCGCTTCTCGTGTGCCACCACCATTCTGGTGGACTGAGCGGCATGCCGTTCGCCGACAGAGCAACGACAGCCGCGAGGATCATCAATGCGGCATGTAGGACGAGCGGCAACCAATAAGCCGGTCCGATGTCGCACGTCAGGGTGCTCAGATAGCCGGACAGTGGTCCTAGCAGGGCGAAACCAAGGGAGCCGAAAGCCAATTGGCGTCCTACGTCGCCGCGTCCGCACGACGTCTCCCTGGTCGCGATCACCACCGCCGCGTCGATCAGGGCAACGGCGGTCGTCGGGAAAATATCCGCGACCGAGCGCACGAACAGATACATCCAGAACGCCGCTTCCGTCCAATCTCCGGTACGTTGACATTGGCTTTTCACCAGTACGTTGCCTGAAACGCCGGCATTATCATCATATTATCGTATACCGGCATAAAGGAAGATGTTTCTCCACTATCAGCGTGTGGATAAAATCGGATGGAGCGAATAAAGGCGATATATGGCGTTTAGAGTTTTCCAAGTTTTTATCTCAACAGCTATTGCAGCAAAAGCTGCCTATCGCAGTCATGTAAAAGTTTTAGAACGTGATTATCACAGAGGAATCGATTTTAAGAATATTTTTAAATACGTATACTACGTTTTTTTAATCACTCAATCCTTAATTTTAATTTGGAGATTTCACGTGAAATTTGATATTTAATTCTATATAGGTCTTTACCCGGGAGAGTATATGGATCGACCAGGTCGCATTCTATGGAGCAACTCTGATTGAACTCAGCCATCTTAACTTCCAGATCGGGTGGTATGCGACAGGCGAAGTACTCGGCCACGGGATACGCGCACCATTCAGCCTCGTTTTCGGGATTCAATGCCTGTCCGAGGCTACCGTTCACTGGTAGCGTGCCGGAATACTCTGTGTAAACGTGACAGACGACATTGTCGCCCTCGTCCTTGTAGCACAGATGTGGCGGTTCATTCTCGATCATGACGTAACGACGAGCTTTTTTCGTCTCGTCACGATTTTCCTACAGAGATAATAACTTGTGTCATTACATACGTACTTAACAAACTAACAATCTATCGCTGACATATTAAACTTCTAGTTATTACAAAAATATTTGTTTGAAATTACTAAACAAAATGAAATTATAATTAAGACATGCTAGCCTGATTTATTACTTTAATATTAATCAGCTCAAGATAATACGTGACAAATAGCGAGAATGCATAATTGATCGTTCGCTTTACCTTGGTTTTATTGTAAGTTTCTCGATCTTTGTATCTCTTTATATATATACATACACATACAATATTTGCAGTTAAATGTTACTTATGACTGGACTTTTATTAATTTATATGATAATATTAAATTTAGGATATAAATTAATTGTTAAATTATTATGTCTGCTATATCGCAGTTTTACCTGCGCATAGAGTTCATTGACCAATGGTGCGACGGTGGTCTCTCCACTGCCGTCGAAGAGGTCGACTTCGACGTCGGCGTTATTTCGGAACGTCGTCGTGCGTGTTAGTTCTGAATGCCATCGTCGCCAACCGGTCGGGTAGCAGGCGTAGTTGCAGTTTTCCAGCAGCATGGCACCCACACCGCTGTCATCATCGGCCCAGCGATGACAACCAAAACGATCCTCGCATCTCTCTTGCCGCACCTGATACAAGTTGATTTAATTAGAAAAGAGTAGTATTTTAATAGAATTTAAATATGCTATTGATTCTATATCTAATATTATCAAAATTGAATCGCACAATTAAAATATTCTTCAGATATTTTTTTTGTTTATATCTCTCAATCTTTCTTTTCTTAACAGTAAACGCACTACAGCTCCGCGCCGATCGCAGTTGAATTTGAGGCCTGGGCCCTTCCCGGCCGGTAACGCGCAGTCCACCGTGGGCACCAGCATCAGCAGCGAGTAGAAGAGCGCCGAGAAGATGCAGGCGACGGCGATCATCACGCGAAGGTAACGACCGGTCGACGATTTATCATTGTTGCTCTGGCGGCCGGCGAGCTTGTCGGCGATCGGTCCCGCTATTAGCGGCCCCAGTATCGCTATCGCCGGCGAAACCATCGACACAAACCTCACGTTCTCGATGCTCAGTCCCACTTTCGTCATGTGCAGCGGAAGAAACGGGAAGAGACAGCCGATACCTGAAGAGAGACAATCATATGTAGATCGTGAATCATTAGAGATCGCTTGAACTGAAGCGACTGTCCGGATATACCGATCGACGCTTACCTCCGAAAAAGATGAACAGAAGAAACTTGAGCGATATCAGATTCGTGTTGATGCACTTCTTCTTCGGCAAGTCCTTGTCCAGGTCCATCTTCTCCGTTGACGCCGTCGTGGCCATCGCGGACAAGCAGCCGGTTTTCTCTTACTCGGGGATGAACGTGCTCGGTCGATCGGGACGACCTGGAGTCGTCTACTACGCTGACTGGTCACCTATCTCCATCGCGGTGCGTCCATCCTGCGGATGCGCTTAAGATTACGTCAAAGGAACAATTACGGATAATAGAGCTATTTATAAAATGTTTATGAACAAACACGATGGGGTGAAGAGCGAGCTACTCGTGCCAGCTTAACGAAAAGTGGCATTTCGACAATTAATTATATTAAAACAGAGATCCAGTTTCTACACAGAGAGAATTTTCTCTTAGAATTTATCCTGAAAGTCATGGTAGTTGTGAGACAACATGTATTACGAAGAATTTTATGTGAGCTGTTCTGATAATTAATACCTACCATAATAAAAAAATATTAATATATATCTATTACAATAAAATATAATTTTTCAAAAATTACCAATCTGCTTGGTAATTTTTATTATATTATTTGTAAAATGTCTTTTGTACCTATATATTTCAAAAATTCCTTGGTTACCAAGTTGTCCCAAGTTTGTAACCAACGGTAAGATATAACGAAAAATTCTCTCCGTGTACAAACGCTATGAATTAGAAATAAAAGAATTTAGACGCAAAGCAGTTAAATATAAAATCGAATTTATCCCATTGCTATATGATTGAGACTTAATTGCTCATCCGACACGTTGGCATTTCGGTGACGACCGAGAGGGAGGTCGTCATGCGAATCGGCCACGTTTAATCGGACAGGAAGACCGTCGCACCTGCACGCGCGTGCGGGACATCAAAGGCAATTCGCGGATGTGATGTATCGACGCCACGTGGTGATCGTAGCGCGACGACAATGGAATCGCTGTATACTATATTTGCACCTCGTTGGTGCCGCGGTGAACGTGCTTCAGAGGCGAAATGTTCAGTCTAATGCCGAATCGATCCCCTGGTGCGAGGATGCAAGCTTGTAAAAAAAAAACCTTTCTCCTGCCTTCTTTATTTTGCACATAAAATTCTAATAAATATTTTCCGAAATGTACAAATGGAAAAACTTGTTAAAAATGAACATCCAGATAAGACGAAAATGCGATTACGATACGAAAATAGTAAAATTGATGAAATGTCCGTTGAAACGCATTCCGATTCGTCCTTCGACGAGAACTCGCGCTTATTATTAGATATCATATTGGAAAAATCCTTCGTTTTAATTAATGAAGGTGGTAATTCAGTCGGCGACGAGAAAGATAGTAGGTCGGCAATTAATATTCCACACACGCGATGTTTTCTCTCCTCACAACGTTCGCGATGAAATCGTTTAAAATACACGCGATAACAAAATTCAACGTTCACATCCGTAAGGGAAAGGGACATTCGGGACAGAGACATTCGTTCCTATCGTGAAGTTCCACGTATTGCGAACGTGATGTTTATCCATGAATGAACGCGTATAGGTATATATACCCTGCGCGTCGAGAATTTATGCCAAGGCAAACGGCGCTCGTACGATTACGTGGATGCGCCTCTTCTCAAGTATTGCCATATCAATCTTCCGATCCAGATGCAACGGATTCGGGGCATTCGACGCGCATATATGTGTAGCTCGTGTGTCTGCCTGTGAGCGTGCGTGCGTACCTGGCGTGACGATCGATTTTCACCGAGAGCTCTCTCGCGCGATATACTAATTATATTATAACTGCTCTGTTTTCCCGCGACCGTGTCACTTTCATTTGAGAGCCGACCTTTACAAAGGCGACGCTCCATTTTTGGAGTTTTCATATAATCAATAGAGTTCTGTCTCGTTCAGTGAATTTTGAGATAACCGTTGAAAAAGGTTGCGGCGATATTCGAGCTCTCCACTGTTAAATTCGTATTGTAATTTTTTTTTTATTTGAGTCGTTTTTAATCGTTTCTATAGGTCGCCACTACTCCTACTCAATATGTCATTAATTTAACTAAAACCATGGAGTTAAAATAATAAATTTTTTTATACACATGGTAGTAAAAAATAACAAAATGTTATTTAACTCAAAGTATTTTGGTTTAAATTTTATATTTTGATATTTAATAATGTCGGATTGAAATTTTCCAAGTGGCCGTGAGTTAAAAATTCTTTGTGGAAATCTAGCATTTTGTTGGGAGTTCTGATTAGCGCCGCAAAGTATTATGACTCGATTCGTTTCTCAGGTTTGTCACTCATTGAATTTCTCTTTCATATTCTCAAGCACTTTCTCCCCGAGATTCTCACATTATTTCTCATTCAATATTACTTCCATTCAACGATCGCGTTGCGCAGAAGCTGCGAAAAGGGGGAGGGGAGCGAGAGCAATCGAGCGGTCGCAATTTATCTTCGTGTACCCCCTTGTCTTTCCGGATTGATTACGTCGCCGTCGTAATTGTCGCCGTTGCGTGTGTAAGCGACAAAACTCGGTTACGTAGTTTAAGCTACGTAAGCTATCGCACCGTTCTTTCAGCACGCGCATTTCTCCTCCTACGCCGATTCACAATTAAACGTCCGCCTCCTTCTTCATTCGGTCGATCGGCACCTTCCGCCCTGCAAAATTCCGCGCGGTCAGCAGCCGCGGAAGCGAAGTAAGTAACACACGGACGAATTTTCAGAGGAACGACCTTCTCGGACTCGTCGTTGGGGGAAATCTCACATCGAATTAGCCGGAGGTTCAATCTCGGAATCGCTATCTTTTGATTTTTCGCGTATATGGTGAAAAAAAATAGTGATTAACGAACGTTGCTTAAAAAACTGGATCTTTACTTGCTTAATTAATTTTCTACTCGTGACATATTTCACGTTCCGTATGGAAGAGGCGGTTCGTTCACACGTATGCGTATAAACGTGTGTCTCGACGCGCAAACGGCAGCATTTTTCCCCGCTCAATCCTGCGAGTTATGCGGACAATTGATTGCAATTGCGACGACATTAATTGTTGCGCTCTTATCTAAGGGAATCAGTTCGTCGGTCTTGGAACGATTGCGAAACGGGCTAAAAGCGGGCGAGTGCGTGCGTGCGTGCGTGTTGCTGGAACGGCGACGTTCCTAACTGGGTTAACGACAGGTTACGGAAGCCTCGGATGGTTTTTGCCGGGTTTTAAAAAGGCAACTCCGTCGTGCGCTCGCCCATCGTAAACGTGATTCCGACGACACGAAAATCCACGCGCTCCGTTTCTGCAAACATAGCGGCGCGTTATAAAACGGAAACCTGAATTCTAATGTCATGTGCGTGACACGCATTAAGCTCCCTTCCGAGAAGTCCACCAGAGGCATATGTTTATCAACATATGTATACCCGTATATCGATTACTTGATCTAATCTCATCAACTGGTAGCAGAAACTCCGTCCGTTTCGCTTCAACGCCGAGTGGTTTTGATCCTCGGCGCAATTTACGAAGCAATTTGCCGCTAAGAAAAGCTATGCATAAAGATTTCCACGCGTTTTCCATACGCGTGATGACTGCCCGGCTATAAATAACTGACTATATTATAAATGACTAGGCGAGATTCATCTGATCTAACTTTGCACTCAATCCCGCGCTGTAATAAACGGAAGTTATCAAGTACGCATCAAAACGCAATAATAAAATACGTTCGTTATACGTTCTTTTCCCACTTAAGCGTTCTAGTATTACGTTATTATGAGAAATAAACCTTGAATGTGTTTGTTTGATTAATTTTTATCAATCTCTTCTAATATGTAAACAATTTAATTAACGTTTCAATTTTACAAATTGAGACAATCGCTTATCGTTAGAGAAACAGATCTGTTTGGAATTGATGTTCATCGAACAGGACACGTTTGGTGCGATCGCGATATATCCTGCGCGAACGTAACACGTCGATTTCGGACATGAGTAAGGTGTTCTTCTTTTTTTTACGGCATCTAGGTGTCCTCCGCAAGACTGACACGTTACGTCACCGAGAACAGGTCTCCGGTTACGTCAATATTCAGCCTCCGTAACGTCGCGAGCCATCGAATATCCCCCTTGGACATATCTATACGGACGATCTACGGTGCACACGATTTTGAAGGCGCTCCTTCTAAATATAGTTCTTACGCGTCTGAAAAAGCCAACGGTGTACCTCGTCAATCAAATTAAAATTCTGATTGTTTCCTGGAAATGCGAACGCGATGCATGGGCGATCGTGAAAATTGCCATTCTAAAAAACCGCGCGTATATACCCGCGGAGAATTTTCCTCGGTTCTTCCTTCGTTGAACACAAAGGATATTTAGCGTCTGTAACAGTACCGTAAGTTTTATATTTATTAAAGTGCACTTATATCGAAAGGACGTCGATAACGAGAGCCGACAATTGCGCATTTTGCTTCACGGATTGGACGTGGACGGATGTAATTTGGACGAACGGCTTCTCGCGGCTGCATCGACTGTCCAAAATCGAGAAGTATTTTCTCCGATGGGAAGTGAAAGATGCCCTCTTCCCTTTCGAGCGAGAAAGAGCAGTCGTCTGCTTCTCAGCGGGCTATATTATCCAGTCTCACGCGAGAGTCTGGACAATAGATATTCGCGCGATCGTTCCTTCCTCATTTTCTTGATTTCGATAATGGAACGGTCTTGCTCGACGTATAGAAAAAAAAGGAGAAAAAAAAATCGTAATTCGCTCTTCTCGTAGGCGGGAACGAGAGTTTCCTCTTCAACGGCCTGAGCGGCGATTAAACCTTTCCAAAAGCATGCAGTTCGCGTGTGCATACGAGATCGGGCATGCTTCGATTCTCTAAATATAGCCTGTTTTATTACGGCCCACGGTTCAATTATGCGCACGTGCTGCGCGACTAAATGAGGCGTGAGAAATTGACGCGTAACACCGTTGTTCGGTAACGTATCAAAAGAATACAGCGAGTATTTTGTAGATATAACAAGTATTACAAGCGTCAATATTCTGTTTGGGTTTTTGGTAGATAAAACGTATCGGAAACCTATAAGGTAAATTTGAATTTCTTTTATGTCTATTTCTACCAACGTAGATTAACTTTAGTCTCGATTTAACTTATTTCTCATCTTTTTCTTACGGTTCTAGATTGGAGGATTGGAAAAAGATAAAAAGTAAGTTATATACGTGATTAAATCGAGATTAAAATTAAATTGATGGAAATGAACATTA